GCGGAGACGCGACGTGGCAGGGACGGGGACGTGGCACCACGGGGCCCCGCTCGCCGTGGGCACGAGGATGTGGTGGACACAGGGACGTGGCAAGCACGAGGATGAAGAGCGGCAGGAGGACGTGGCGTGGCACAGGGTGGTGACGGCAACCAGGACAAGATGGGCATCAGGACATGACCGGCACCAGGACGCGGCGTGGCACGAGGACGTGGCGTGGCACAAGGCCATGATGGATTCCAGGACATGATGGGCATGAGGAGGCAGCGTGGCACAGGAACACGATGGGCACCAGGGCACAGCGTGGCACGAGGACGTGATGTGGCACACGGTGGGCACGAGGATGCGATGGACATGGTACGTGACAACATGGCAGGCACCAGGATACAGCATGGCACGAGGATGTGGCGCGCATGGGGACATGACAGGCACAAGAACACAGCGTGGGACGAGGACGTGGTGTGGCACAGAGACATGATGGGCACCAGGATGCGGCGTGGCACGAGGACGTGATGTGGCACACGATGGGCACGAGGATGCGATGGACGTGGTGCACGAGAACAGGGCAGGCACCAGTGAGTGCGGGGCACGAGGACGTGGCATGGCACAAGCACACAGCGTGACACAAGCACATGGCGTGGCACAAGGACATGGCATGGCACAAGGACACTGCCTGTGCCCCCCACGCACCCTGCCCGGCCCCCCCAGCCCCCCTCAGGCAGTGCTGCTCCTTGCCTCCTGCCCCGCGAGAAGGGAAAACTGAGGCAGGGTAGAGGCAGAGGGCCCCCCCCCATCCTGTGCCTCAGTTTCCCCCGTGCCATACACACGACTGCACACTGCCAGGTGCGCAGCAGGTGAGGGGTTAATGCCGCTGCCTGTCACCCTGCACATCGTCACCGAGCTGCCACCCACGGGTGTCCCCGCTCCCACCCCCGGGTCCCCAGCAGGCTCTGCCCACGCGCCCCACGGCACCGGTGGGTTGGGGATGGGAGCAGGGCGGGCGGAGGGATGCAGAAGGGCGAACGGACGGACACAGCGTGGCTATGGGGCGGCCAGACAGATGGACGTGGGACGAGTGGGACAGAAGGACGGGCGAATGTGTGACGCACGGATGGCGACAGGGATGGAGGAGCGGAAGGATGGACGGACGGATGCCGGGATGGAAAGACGGGTGAGGGGTCGGCCCCTGAGCCCCATGGAGCCAGCCCCAATGGGGAAACTGAGGCACAGGACCCCCCGCCACAGCCGGCGCCTGCGGACCCCCCATGTCGGCTGCCCCACGGGACCCCAAGGCCGGGCATGGGTCAGGACGCCTGGGTCCCCCCATGCGGGGAGGTGTCCCTGCCTGGTGGGTCACAAGTCCTCAACCAG